CCTGCACTTTCTGACGACAAAGCGGTGCCTCGCCAGCAACATAAGGTAATCGCTAAACGTGTATTGTTTTTTAAAGCAAGAAACGTGATGAGTGTACGAAAAATGTGAATTGTTGAATGTCTCTATGAGGTCCTCGCTAACGTTTTTAACGATCCAACAATCCAAGCATTCCGCAGTCCAGGAGACATTCTTAATTTCTTTTAGTCTTGGTAATTGTAAAAGGTAGTTATCTTCTGGTCTCCATCCCATGTTTTCTTGCACGTCAATAGTAGTCAGAGATGGGAGATGCAGTGAAGCACTATGGGTATTCCATATTTGGAGATCATTGCTCGACAGGTTGCTGTAACGTTGAGAAGAATTAAATTAATCTATCAATTTAACAAACCTTAGAAGTTCAAGTTATTTAATTATGCTAGGTCATCACTCTCTAACTGACGGAATATTCAAAATTAAACTTCGCCTTAAATTGAAGTTGATCATCCAACTTTACGCAATAACTTTAATGTCGTAAAAGGTCTTTCAAGTCGACATTTACTTCAGACCGCACGTTAAGTCTCTTGGTCTCTATCCTATCTTCTCCCACACCAAAATCACATAAGTAGCGACTGGGTACGAGTAAGCTGGGTCAAATAACCAGCTCCAGACTATGAACCTTCATCAATCGCTTCGATATTAACAGCTGGGCAGTACATGCGAATTAAGGGACCGGTTTCCTGATGGCGTTTAGACCGAACCTGCGATCTTATTTCTTTATTTCTTGCTGCCACTAATAATAAATCACAGTTCTACACTGATCAAAAATTAAACCTGATTTGTTTTACAGTGTTTGCAGAGAATTCAGGTCGCTAAAAGCGTCTTTGTGAATAACTCGAATGTTGTTATACGTCAGTGACCTTTGAAAACAAATAGCAGGTTAGATTTAAGCACAAGCAATAACTTTTCCGAAAAATTATAAACTACAACAGTTAGAAATAAGAAACTTACAGATTCAGCAGATTCTTGAGACCTGCAAAACTATTTGGCAGTAGTTCCTCTAGCAGGTTTTGAGACATTTCTCTGATAAAACTAAAAAAACAAAGAAAAAATCATCTAGCTTATATTTTCTTTTGTTTCATTGTCCTTACATAAGTTCAAGGAAAAGGGTGGGGAAAATGATGCGTGTAACGCAACAAAATCAACTATCCTTACTTGAGTTTGCAAGTTTGGAAAGTTCGCGCCTATTGATTCTGCACATCCCTACTGCGCACGAAATTCACGTCGCCACGTGCACGTTACACCACGTCATATATCAAGCGCGCGCTAAGAAAGGAAAATAAGCAAGTGTCGGGCTTAGTACCGGTTTGCTTTGACTTCGCCTGGAATTTAATATATCTCTAAAATGGTCGGTGACTCTTGTTTTATATATTTTCACGGATATCTCTTTTCCCTTTGCTGTTTTTCCCATTTTAACCGCAAACAGATTGGAAAACGAATGGAATTGTACTGTTGAAACTGGCCGCAATAATTTTACTTACAAGTTGATGAGTCCTGAGAAAGGATAAAATGTATTTTGTTCTATCGCCTTTATTTCACTGTTTGACAGCTTCCTAAAAAACAAAGAAAAAGACTACTAAAAAAGCAATAACAGTTACACCACAGACATCTGAACCATCGCATGGGATAACTATATAGGAGCAGTGTGTGAATTGAGGACTGCACGGAAAGCCCCTATTAACAAATTACTATGTCTAGCTGTTGCACTAAAGTTGTAAACGATTTCAAGCAAATTTATAAATAATTGAAGCTACGCTCTTTATATACCACAAATTGATTTGTTACTAGTGAGCCAGTGAAGAAACAGAAAAGTATTACGTTTATACTTGACTTAGCTAAATGTCACTGATGAAATATTCGACTGACTCTTACAGAGAGGTTTCTTCCACTGGAGTACTAAAAGACTGTGATATGTTCCCCAAGAGACTCATTCCGCAAACAGATGTGATGTTTCCTTTATCACGAGAACAGGTGCATCTCGTATCTGTGCAAACGTTTCTGCTTTCTCCGTTCTTGTCCGTGAAGATGAAAAAGGCAATTATTACCCAGCTCGACAAGAAGATTCGACTCATCTTAATTTGCACACGTTAAATACTCAAACGTTTCTGAAAGAAAAAGAGGACAAAGCCATTGTGTGATCCCCGGTAGAATTTGCTTCCAGAAATGACGAGGGAGATAAAGGTATACTCAGATTCGGGAAGTCTGGGGTTGAACCTGGCAAGGTCAATTTAAATTACAACTAGAGAGAAAGTTCTTCTTAAAACTATCCATTTTCAATAATACTTGGTGTTTATTTTACTAATCTAAGAACTGTTCAATAACGTTTGTCATGCAGTTGTGCACAAACTTGTACGCGCCAGCACAACCCTACTATTTTCTGGTATTCACTCCAAAAGGCATTTGGTTGCTTGTTGGGACATCATAATCGCTACACCTCCCTGATATGTCTCCTCTTTACCACTCTAGATTATTACCTGTCCTGTGTTTTCTGATTTTGATTTTCTGCTTCCTCTCCACCTACACTCGCTAATACCCAGAATATTTAGTCTATACCTCTCCATCTCTCGCGCTTCTTGGCCAGCTTTTCCAATCTCAAACATGGTTCTAACGTTCCAGTTTCCCATTTTGGTTGTAAGTTTTAGGTTTTTGATCTATGTGCGTTTGGGTTTTTACACGCTATTGTGCTATGCCAATGTTTGCTAGTCCTACGAGGCAACCAATTGTTACGACACTAAACAGAACTACATGTAATAATTGGCAGAAGTGTTATGCGAATCGACGTAAGAGTTACAGTGTACATCCTGGTTAATTTTAAATTCCTTAGAAAATGCTACACACCAATTAAATTTTGAACTTGCTGTTGTGCGATTCTTACAGTGATGAAAATGTTTGGTCTTATAAATCTGAGTGGGAATCAATAGAAATGATCAATACCACACAGACTGTAAACTGGAACTGAGAAAAAAAAGAGAGATCGAGACTGAACAAACAAAGCACACAGAGCCATTTTCATCGTCCTGTTTAGCAAAGGACCAACGCAAATGGTAATTTCACATTCGACTAGTTGATGGTGATCGAGTTCACACGATTGCGTTCCCTATTAGACCCAGTTTAGCTACTTTCTCTGCTACAAAAGAGACGGTATATCATAATTCAGTGTGAAAGTTCTGTAGGTCCGCAATGAGTACGTGCGAGTTTCGTCTTTCATTGCTAAGGTCGGTCTAATGTAGCCTGCACTCCGATGTGTTTAGAAATGCATCAGTCAACAGCTTTCAGCTTGATTACGTGATTAAGCTCGAGATTTTCTTGTTCGAAAATAGCGAGAGTTGAAGATTGATTCACCAGCCAGGAAGAAGAAAATAAAGCGCCGATTTATAACAACCATCGATATCTCAGTATCTAAGCTAACTGAGACAACATGCCAAAATCAGCTTGTGAAATGCTGCTGATTGGGCAGCCACTCCCCAAGTTTGCGACTTAAAATAAAGTTACCTTACCTTACCTTACACGCTTGACTTTCAGGGATGCCTCGTTTGCCTATTTATAGATAAGGTTTTTAATTGATCCGTTCGTAGGCTTGCAAGGTGTGATCCCCCGGGTTACCCTGATCGAGCTATAACGTTTAACTTATTTCTTTGAAAAATTCAAGCAACCGTTTACATGAGGATCGCGAGACCGTCTCTGGATTTGTCACTGGTATCGAGACAACTCGGGTGGACGAGTTATCTCGCTTCGCAAACGGGTTAAATCTGGCAGACGGGATAACTTAACTTTTCTCATATAATACTGTGGTTCGCACTTGACTGGGGAATATCACGGCTTGCCGAGTGCCATGTAAGGCTTAGATTTTTGGACTGTAAAGCAGAAATTTGTATCGAAGAAGTGGGAACTCGACAAAACTGTTCGAAAAGGCGACCGAAGGAAACTCAAACACGGAGGCATAATTGCGCATTTGAGTGTTTTAATAAGGAATATAAATAGTCATAGAGGGCCAACTTTGACTCGCGGGCAGCACGTACCGGGACAACGTTCTCTCACATAAACGCTGGCTGACGCTGACTCGGGTAGAGGGTTGTCTCGGGAACCGGAGACCATATAAATGGTACCTGAATCTCGTCACACACATGAACGCTGCCAGAAGTCGAAAGGGTCGAGTCTGTTAATTTAAGAACCTTGAATTGCGTGTAGGAACAAATACTCTCGAGCTCCGCGCCCGCACTCGCGCGTGCCCGGCTCGCTTAGGCGCGCCCGCTCGTGAAATGACTAAGAAGAATCAAGACGTGTACCGACATCTCAGGATGTGTACAAGGATATACACCAGGAGTATACCGGAGGGACGCGCCCGACGAACATTCGCAAAAGCTCGGAATCGAAGAAAATGTATAGAAAAATTATCCCAAACACCCTTTACTTTCTGAGGTTTGCAGCTTTATTAAAAACTAGCATATGACATGATTTTACATGGTAAACTGACTTGCGTTAATAAATAAAGAAAACTGTCTACACGGCTTGCGTCTGTGAATAGTTAAGTCGACTTTCCTGTGGACTGGAGTAGTGAATACATTTTCTATATATTTACGCATGACTGATTGCACAAGTAAAATTATACGACACGGGAAAAAGGAATAGATGGCATACGTGCAAAATTGTCTGCCATATATTTTTCTTTATTCCACGTCATTTTCAAATGAAAAGGCAAACCAATGGACACCTGCTTTTGTTTCTCTAGACAAATGGCTGGTTTATACAAACAATGGTGGCGTTTGTTAGACATTTAGACCAAGTAATGGATAAGTCATCTTTTTATAGTCAATTGTTTAAATACTATTGCTTACATTTCCTGATACTTGGACGTTTATCTTGTTTCGATTATGAAAACACAAGGGGAATATATTTATTTTTTTAACCAAATATTGATAAAGAACACTTCCAATTCGAGCCAATTTAGCGGAGGTAGTGATTATGAAGGTGGAAAGTCACGTTTTCCAAGTCATCAACTGAAGATTTCTCCGCGTCAAAAACTATGTAGAACAAACTAAAATCTTTCGATCTCATGGAGGAGTGTAAAGTATTGCTGGAGTACTTTCCCTTAATCTCGGAACACGAAGAATTTTTTCCGACCTTCGTCGCTAATTGCGTCTTCAACACTCTACTCTGCTATACAGCCATCATTTTGAACGTTGTTGCGATCTACGCAATAAGAAGAACTTCATCGCTACCGAAGACTTTAAAAACATTGCTAGTGAGTCTTGCTGTTTCCGATGTCGGTGTTGGTTTACTCGCCCAACCATTTTACAGTTTCTTTTTAATCAAATGGTTACGTAAGAACAACACTGGCTGTGCAATCTACAGGGCTTTTCTCGTTATTATGAATTTTGTTTCTGCGGCTTCGTTCTTCGGCGTTCTGGCCATGAGTGTAGACAGATTTTTGGCAATCCATCTTCATCTGAGATACCAGGAGCTCGTGACTGACATTCGCGTTGTTGCTGCGGTGGCCTCTGTATGGGTGGTGTCTGGGTTAGCATCTCCACTTATCCTCTGGCTTGAGTCCGATAGCCATCACATGCTTTTGACTAGTGTTGCCGTTTTTGGTTTCCTTATCACAGCACTGGTGTATATTAAGACGTATTTAGTTCTGCGACGTCATAGAAACGATATTCAAACCTTTCAAGTACATCAAGTTACACAGGATGGTGGCGAAATCGTCAATTTTGCACGCCTTAGAAAATCTGCTGTTGGTACATTCTACGTTTATTTAGCTTTTTGGGTTTGTTATATGCCTTGCGCGATCTGTTTGGCTGCTTTTGTGATATACGGCCCGATCATCGATTTAAAGAAATTTTTTCTTTACTCGTGGTCACTGATGTTTCTCAATTCATCTTTAAATCCTGTTATTTACTACTGGAAGATGAGGCATATCCGACGGACTGTTATTGACATACTGAGGAAAATGGTTAGGCAAAGAAATCAGATATCATTTTAATCACAGGGCTGCAACACACGATATATTAAGTCGTTTTATTAGATGTGCAAAATATTTCCAAATTGATGGAAGCCTGTAAAGAACAGTTTAATAAGTTTAGAGTTGTAATGATAACCTGAAAATAAACAAGAATGATTATATTAGGACAAAAAATGGCATTGTTGTTTTTGGCTTTTTTGTGCACCATGGTTTAGTTCGTTAGCTGCCTTCAAAGTCTACGGCTCTAGTATCGCGTTGAGCTGGTTTTTTTTTTTTTTCGTATTCGACGGATCATCATTGATCATGACATACTGAGAAGCGTGCATGTCTTGATACCAAACTCCATGACTCTTTACTACCTTGCGGCGATAAATAACAATTCGTTGTTAGAAAGAGCAGTGAGTACGGATTGAACAAGGCTGTGCTTTTCTTCACTCGAATGAAACAGAACTGCAAACGGAGAATTTTCATTTTGATCAGTATAAGTAGACGAGAGCTCCAGATCAGTGCTTTCTTAATCTCGCAGAGTTTGGTATTTGTTTGATGCCATTATTATAGCGTCAGCTTAAAAGGAATGCTAGTATTGTTTAATTCATCAAAGAAGTGGTGCTGAAACAGGCTGGAAAACGTTGTGAAACAGATTTCAGTTCCACAGATTAGTTAGGAGATCCCCCGTACCCGTAGCGTACCCGACAAGGCTATTTTACAGCAAACCGAAGGCCCAATATAATACTCTGTTTGCTTGCGGTTAGTTTCGCTCATGTTTGCTTGCAGCTAGCTTTTATTTGTTGGAAAGGGCGCCATTAGTATTGTATTTGGCCTTTTCCAATCACAAAAAATAGTTAACCACAAGCAAACATGAGTGAAAACAGAGCATTCGGTATTCGGCATTCGGCATTCGGCGCTGAGCATTCGGCGTGTGTTCGGCGTTGAGCCCAGACCCCCTCTAAAGAATTTGTGGGAAATTCAAAATGGCGGCGTAATATCACCTCGTGTTGCGCTGTAAACTACTGCAACACTGCATAAGGTATGTTGTAATTTAAACAGCATATATACGATTGAAGATTTTTATTCTGGCTTATAGCATGGTCGGTGAATGTCGTTCAAGTTGCTTTTGCTGCATGCTATCTAGTTCATAAGCTGAATGTGTTGACATGCTTTTGGCCTCTCGGAATCCTTGCACATCGTTAGTATAAAAGGATAATATATGAGCTTAGATTTAGCCAAGCTAAGACTAGAAGTGAAGCTCTGGGGTGGGTTGTTCAAAGCCCGATTAACCTAACCCAGGTTAAGCGAAAATTTTGATTTGAGTTTTGTAACTTTGCGGTGAGATTTTCTGTTTTTATTGTTTGGCCTTCCGTTTTGATTTTGAATAATGCGTCAGTTCAATAGGCCAATTCCGATATATTAAAATTCTAACTTGGCTCCGAGGCTTAGGGGAATCAAACAAAAGAAATCAATTATTCATCCCTCATCCTTGATGCGATTTCTTTTGTTTTATTCCCCTAAGCCTCGGAGCAAAGTTGGAATTTTAATATATTGGAATTGGCCTATTCCAGCGGTGCCCGTCCCCACCTCCCCCTGGGCTAACCCCCCGGGCATTAGCATTTTTTTAAAACAAATGGGCAAATTCCCGGGGTCACTGTGGGGACACATAAGCTGTCTAGATGCCCAAGGGTGGGGATGCATATGAGGAACTAGAGCAAATGCCCCACCACCGGGATCATTACCTTCCAACACCTCTGCAGTTTTGTTATTAATCAGTGAAGAAAATGTTCACAAGTTAGTACTTTAATGTTCAGTACCAGAAAATATCCATACTCCCCCCACAGAAGGGATTGGAATTTCCTGGGGGGTGAGGGTTCTCTAAGACCAAAGAATTTCAAGAAATGTACCAAGTTTAATTGGAATTTCCAGAGGGGTGGGGGTCTTGGAAAAAATCCGTTCTGTGGCGGAGGTATGGATATTTTCTGGAACTACACAATGCAACGGTAAGACTTCAAGGACAACAGTACTTGTTAGTTGATTCTGATTATATATATATTTTTTTTATTATATAGACACCTGTTTTACTGGAAAGTACACCACTTGTATAATTCATACAAAACCACATCTGGGACTCGAGTGGCGTATTTTCCATACTAGTGAAGATATCAATGATTTCACTGATATCAAATTTTTCTCTTAAATTGTACTTAAATTCATTGGTGTATCATCGAAACATCTTCGAAGTTGTAGAGAAAATGAACTTTTAGTAGTAGTTATAATTATTTTATTAGTAGTAGTTTTAATATTATTATTGTATTTTAATAATTTAATTGATTTGTGAACTTTTTTTTCTTGCTTCTGATAATTTGAGTTGAAATAAAGTGTATTGTATGTAGGTATGTATGTATGTATGGGTCTTCCTCAAAAGTCTTTGGCAATCTTAGGTAATCTTTGGCAATCTTCGGTTATCTTCAGAAATTTTCAGAAAATGTGCGGTAATATTCGTGTGACCTTTGGACAAGTTTTGGAGAATCTTCGGAAATCTTCAGAAAGTGGTCGGAAATCTTCAGAAAATTGTCAAAACCACTGTCATCAGTATGTGTATATAATAAAAAGAACATTACATATTAGCTCGAAGATATGAACTTTATGTTCTTGTGGCAAGAATAATATCTCACGAGTGAACGCAGCAAACTCATGAGATATTGTTTTTGCCACTCAAACATAAAATTCATATCTTCTCGCTACCGTGTAATATCCTCTATATATTTTGTTTTTAACAGTTTGCTAGAGGATAGCATGACATTGAATATTTTGTCGCATAAAAACCATTTTTTTGAATATTATATTCAAGTTATTTCTTATGTGTTATCAATATACGAAAGATTAAAAAAATTTCAAACAAAGACAAACAGCTGCAAACGTATAATATGAGATTTTCAAATATAAATAGATTTCTACGTGGGTGATTTGTAGTTCATCATATTTCACTGCAATTTAATTGTCTTGCGTTGCCACCTTAAAAACGTGCATATTGCTATAAACAGCAGTACAATTTCAATCATTGAATTCGTAGTGCTCTAAAACCTATTTCAAAGCCTTTTAACAAAGAAAAAGTCATGAAGCTTTTGGAAAATTTATTATAATATTATAAAACTACACTGGGATTGCGGCGGACATGCCCCCAGCTTCAAGCGATGCTAGGCACCTGTATTCTCAGGCTACTTTTTCTGTGAAGAATCAAGACATGTTAAATGATGATGCAAGGCATTTTACATGTAAGCTCGCAAGATCTGTCTTGAAGATCACATCATTTGAATTTGCAAACCTTAAGTTTTAACTCCACTTTCATGAAATAGTTGTGTTTACATCAGTGGTTGTTTTGTGAGAAAATAAATATGGTTCACCTTGTTGCTTATATTTATATGCTAACAAGTAATGAAGAAATATCTGAAATTGAGAAAACATACCTTTAAAAACATCTACAAGTTTCTGCAGTCCCTGACGGACAAGCAATTGTTCAACAAACGCCTCGTCTTTCCCAATGAATTCATCCCTGGCACTTTTGAAAACATGTGTGTCAAATGCCGGGGTCGCCCCATGGTACGCAAATGCCCAGCCCCTGGACTGCGATAAAATTGCAAATGCCCAACCCCTGGGACTAACAATGTGAGCAAATGCCCTGCAGTTGCCCAGGGAGTGGGGGTGGTGATGGGCACTGCTGGAATTGACTGATGTGTAATCTCAAAATACACAAAACACAAGCAGCGAAAAACATTTGTACACAAGAAAAATTATACTTTGGTTATCTTTTAATCCTGGGTTAGCATTATCCGCCTTCTGAACAATCCCGCCATAATTGTTAAATCTGTTATATCACAAGTGTTCCGTAATTGTGTTTGTCGATGGATTGCATCTTTTGTTTGGGTTCTAGCATCATTAAATTCATGTTTGCCACAAATTTCAGGGTGGTCCATCTAGGGTAGTCCAGGGGTAGTCCAGGGGTAGTCCATTCAGGTAGTCCGTGGACCAGGTCTAATTGGGGTAGTCCATGGACCAAGGGTCAGCAAAATGTACGTTTACACTGTCAGTATAAATATGGACTGCAGACTGTGGACTACGGACTTAAGTACATGTATCAGATGTAAAATTCGGACTGTGGCCTAAATGTGGCCTACCGACTGCAGTCCGTGTTTTTAATTGACCGGTCATAACTATTATTGCATAATACATGTATAAATGAGAACAAACCCTGTTGTGTGTACGTGCTTTGCGATCAGTTCATTTGTTTTCACCCCTGCTGAAGGGAGGCCAATTTCACGTCTATCTAACTGCTCAGGCACAAAAATACTGTTCCTTTTATTTCTTAAATTTCTATTTCTACTTTATTCATATATTTAATCATTCTTTCATTCACTTTTAAATTGTTTTAACACTCTGCGCTCCGCACTCTGTGTTTTTGGAACAGCCGGCCATTCATGGTAGCTGGAAAATGGTAATAATAATCGCATGAATCACAGCAAACTTGAGGGAATATAAACATTTATGCACTTATGAATATACGCACAGGCTGTGAATGTCCTTCACCCAAAGATAGTTCCACAGATAGTTCCGAAAATAGTGCTGCACTTGAATTGTTAAGCAAGCAGAGTTATCTTCTCCCATTTGATTGGTTCATGGACAATATACAATAAACTTGATTGGGCTGCGTAAAGGCTTGCACATACACCAAACCGCAAACATTTTCCTAACTTTAATTGGTATCGGTTAGAGATGACGTAAAACAAGAAACAAAATATAAGACTTAACCATGAACATGAACTTCATTATCAAGGTTTATTACATTCTAGACATTCTAATTACTTTTTAAACAATCGGCACTACTTAGATTACCTTAGAACTTGGAATTCTTACAAATTTAACCTTGCAATGTTCGGCAACTCAAGATTCAAGTTCACGATAATAATTGTTGCTGTTTTAACCCTGTTGATCTCCAAAAAAAATTAGCATAAAGTTATTTAAATTACCCGGACATTCATGTAAATAAAGATGACTTTGCAGATGACCATCACAACACCAATATAAACACCAGTGGAGAGTTGATCATTAACTAGTACAAGACAGTCTTGCCAATAAAACACATAATAACATCCGGTATTTATTTATTTATTTATGCTCATTACTATTATCTATATTTGATCTACAACCTGCGACCTGCAATCTGCAACCTGCAAATTACACCCTCCATTGATCTGCATCACATGACTGTATGTTCTCATAAAAGAAACAAAAATTTTCCTTTCAGGTGATAAAAAGAACAAGCAAATCCTAATTCAAGTTCTTGCTTCATCATGCCTGTGATGGCGCTCTCCAAGAAGAAAGTACGTGTATGTACTTTATACTGTACTGTAAATATTTTGGATGCCAAAAATTTCAGGCACTTGCAAATTTCAGACAGTTATATTTTTGGACATTTCTTTGTCCGAAATTAAGGTTGTCCGAAAGTTTTCGCAAGTAATGCATATATATGCAAACTATTTAAATTTTATGTTGTCATAATAAGGAGAGTAATGAGCAGAGAAGAGTGTTCATTTCATTGAGATGTCCCCTAGTTCATAGGATTTTAAGTTTCTCATTTCAAGCTTACTTATTCCTGGGTCAATATTATTCCTTGAAATGAATCAGAATTTTTTTGGCTCTGGCTTCAGAGTTAATATCTGGTTCAGAATCATTTATCCCATCAAGGAATATCACTGCCTGGCTAATGGCTAACATTCTGCTGCAAAAACAATGATTGATTGCTCGGGAAATTAGTTTGTTTTGGTGGGGTAGAAATGTTTGGGTAATCCTTTAGGAGGTTGTGAAATTCTTAAGACTCTGCTGTGAAATTTTGAGAGAAAAGAGTTATTTGCACATTGTTTTTATGCAAGTTTAGCAAAAGTCATGTACAAAATACTTACTAGTTACATATTGGATTTGCAGGCAAGTTGTTAGAGACATAGATCAGAGGAACAAAGACCGGGGACCCAGGACCGGCGACCCAGGACAGATGACCCAGGACAGAGGACCCAGGACAGAGGACCCAGGAGGAGGACCCTACTCAGTCGAGTCAGAGGATCCAGGACAGAGGACCCAGGACAGGGGACCCAGGACAGAGGACCCAGGACAGAGGACCCAACTCAGAAGACCCAGGACAGAGGACCAAGCACTCAGAATGTTCAGAGGATCAAGGAGCAAGGACTGGACTGAGAACTGACAACTGGGGATCAAGCACAGTGGATGAAAGCAAGCCTTGGACAGCAAACTTTTGTGAGTTGAATATTATTATAGATATATTAAGGTACATGTATATAAGTCATTTCCGGCAGCAGAGATGGCTAGTGCACCTTGCCCTGAGGGTTTTTCTCCGGGTACTCCGGTTTCCCTCAGTCCTAAAAAACCAATATTTTCAAATTCCAATTGAACAAAATTGGTGACACATTGTGGTGGGCCAACTGAGATGAACACTTCTTTGATTACTAAAGGTAAACATTTGTAATACCAATTTATTACTCTCTGTTTATTTCCTAGTTACATGTGTGCATGTGATTTTGCAGTTTCCTTGGGAAAAAGCTTTATTTATTTTCTGTCTTTTTCATAGATCTCTTTTTTAATCATTGGTAAAGGGAAATTCCTGAATCAATCAATCAATCAATCAATCAATCAATCAATCAATCAATCAATCAATCA